GATGTTTTGCAAAATAATATGCTACAATTAAAAAAAAATAGCTTAATAGGTCCCCATTTCTTTGCCAGTGTGGCATTTCTATCAGATTTTCGAATTAAATTGGTTAAAAAATAGGGTTTGTTTAAAAATCGAATCCTATATGTGTATTATTTATTTATTTATCTATTTATTTATTTAATATCACATTTTTGTAATTTGTTTTTTATATTAATTGTGTTTCTTATAAAAAAGACATGTATATATATGATAAAAATAATTAAAAAAATGCTTATATTTTTTAATAAGTTGTTAAATTTTACAAACCTATGGGCAGTTAAATCGGATGTAATCAGATTTGAATATTTGATATCCTTAACTACCCCGATTTGCCAATCTGTTTGCATCCCTACGGAAACAAAGAAGATGGATTGAACCCAATAGCCAATTGGCCAACTTGAATGATTTCTATGGTGTGTATCCTAAGAATTCTCATGTTACTACAAAATCATTTTGATTTCAGTGATCCTCAGGAGTCATAAAAAAGTGGGTGATTTCAGTGACTATGTGTGCACAAACATTTTCAATGTTGATAAAAGAAGGAATTCCTTAAGCTATACGAGCAATGTGCAATGCTTCCTTTTTTTGACACTTACTTGGATGACCCATCTATTAATTGATGAGGGGCACATGGTTGATGGTAAGGGTGTCAATCGACCGGTTTTGGATTGGACCCCATCCAGTCCAAAATCAATTTGGATGGATTTGATGGACCAATAAGACGTATTGGATTGGACCAATCTGGTCCAAATTATTTGTTAGATTGGATTGGACCTGGTCAGTTCGTAACAAATTAATATTGGATTGGGTTGGATTAAGCCAATATCTGGTTCATTGATATAAGATAAGAATATATGTGTCAATGGACTGGGTTTGGGTTGAAACCAATCTAAATCAAAATGAATTTGAACAGATTGGATGGTCCAGACATTGAATCAGACTGGTCCAAATTGGTCCAAAACATTCATTGGATTGGATTGTACTTGGTCCATTTATAATGGACTCACATTGGACTGGATCGGTTTGGACCAAATCCAGCCTAATTGACACCCCTAGTTGATGAGGGCTTGTTGGTCACATCACACGGGGAGATAACTCACCATCTACTTCAACCCAATCTAATTAAAAAGTGACATGTAATTTAGTCCACAATAACATTTAAGAACAATGTTGTTATGGTTACCTAGGGGTGGATTCGAGCAAGCCGAGCTGAATAGTACGAGGCTCGAGTAAAAAACTCATAAGCTCGAGTCAAAAATTTGTTCAATAGCTTACTCATAAGCTCAAGCTCGGCTTGGCTCGAGCTCGATTTCAAAAAAAAAATTTATAAAAAGTTATATATAAAAATATTTTTTATTTGATATTTAAAAAAATTAAGAATTATAATATTTTTATTATATATATTATTTTCTATAATTTTATTTTATATAGCCGAGCTCTATTAGGCTCGACTTTGACTCGTTTGTTAATCAAGCCTGTAAATTGGGCTTGAACTCGGCTCGAATCTCGATCAAAACCGAACTAAGCCAAGCTCAAACAGCTCATAAATAGCTCGACTCATAGCCACTCCTATGGTTACCCATGCAACCATTCCATTTGCACAAGAACTCTCAACCCTTAGAAAAACTTGAGACTAGAGCTTGGTATTAATTTAATACATAGGAAGGGTTTGGGTTTTATTAGATTGTTGAAATACGATTCTTATTCTAGTAAATTACAGTCACATCACATGGTCCACTTTGTATGCAATCATACTTAATTGTTATTTCCATGAAGTCTTTCTTCACCCATGATGCATTTTTGTAAAAGGACTGGTAGCCACAAAAGTCTATTAGAAAAAGGAAAATAGAAGAAAAAAAATAGAAAAACCTTCTTTCTTTGTGGAATGCTGATTGGGAGCATATTTGTGGACGAAAATGGTGAGAGACTGGGATGCAAGAAAATAACTAGACAAGGTAGGAATTAGGATATGTCTTTTCATGGGTCATAGAGGAATACAAAGGGATACATAAACAATTCTTTGGTAGATGCTTTCTGCTTTGAAAGAAATAAAGAGAGAATCACATATGTAAAATGATGGGATTCTTCTCCAAAATAAATGGATGGATTTTTTTTTATTCAGGCCGAAATATTTGAATCATTTACAATTTTTTTAATCATGAAAAGATTATTTCCAGGCCTTTTACATAAAAAACAACTTAAAAGGTCTGGAAAACATAAATTGCATTGGAAATAATAGCTGAAATATGTCAATATGAAAAATTTTACTTTCATTTTACACAGAAACAAACAAAGCCTAAATTATTGCAGACTATAAAGGAATGCTAACTGGTAAATGATATGAACTTATGCTCAAGGGGTATTACTATTTTTTTCATGGGATGTCTCTACAATTATACTAAATTTTAAAAATAATTTATAGATCATCATCCATGCCTTGTTTCAACCAAAATTTAAAGTATCAATATAATACACCTCATATCGAATGTATCATACCGTATGGCAAGATTTATGATACACCTATTTAAAAGTGTTTTCATAAAAACATGCATAATTTAAATTATCGATACTTTTAAGCCATAATCCCAATTATATGAATTGATTACATAAATCCTATTTTTATCAATCCGTTCTATTTAAGATTGTATACTATCAAATTATTGGTGTTTAATCAGTTCTTATTACTTATACACATATCCATTTTTTATCTACCCTAAATAATCAATCAATAACAAACACCTACCCTAAAATTCTAAATTATTTTACGCTTGTCAAATCATATGATAATCACATGGAACGTGGTTAGATGATATATTACTCGAGTCCTGAATTGACGAAGTTGATTCTTGGGGTGGGTATTTGGCTGTCTCAATTTAAAAAAAAAAATTGCCACTATCTTAAATCCAACTATTGTATCTATTATTTTATATTTTTATCAAAAAAATTATTTTATTTTATTTTATTTTTTTAGTTCTACAAATCCTTATAACTTGAAAATTCGTTTATCCACAATACACTACCCCTGAATTGGAAAAGAAGATGAGATTTTTTTCATATGTGGCTGCTATGTTACGTGGATAGATATGGGCAAAACTTGTGTGGGCAGGAGATTCGGACTCCTAGAAGCATCCATTGTCAAATTTTTTACGCTGGGTCAATTCGTACTGTACGGCATGCAGTGCCTGTCCTGATCTGATACATATTGTCGTTGGCTGTTTTCGTTCGACAGTTTACGCTGTCAATAAGGCTCTCTCCAGCCGCGCTAAACCCACGATGAATCCAACTCTAACTTTTGCTGTAGCGCACGACTAAATCAGAAAATCATGGTATCAAATTTACTGTAATGGCCCCACCAAAAAGTCATTTCATCCGATTCGAGTCATGGCAACAAATCAAATTGATTCGGTGTAGGGTTACGATATTATTGTAGAAAATGTGAGGTGTTAATCATGATTTTTAAAAACGAATCGGTGACCAAATTGGTCAAGGGTCCATTTATCGGTTCGAACAGTCTGATTATTCGTTTTGAATAGCCGATTGGTTCTGACAAAAAAATGAAAAACGGTTTAAACCATTCAAACGGTTAACCAACCGATTCAGTGGTTTGCTAATCAAAATCAACATTTTTTAGAGAAAAAGCGGTTTTGAAGGAAAATGGAATCTATCAGATGACCGATTTCCAGCTTTTCCAGTCCAGTCCGATTTTGAAAACAGTAGTGCTAACTAATCCCTAAGGCTATGGGAAAATTTGTTTGACGGTTCAGACTATCAATTTTGACCGTTAGTAATAGTATCAATGAAGTAAGGTGTTGTTTGGATAGATTTTTAAAAAGTAAGAAAAAATAATGGTCGAATTTATGTAGTGTATCAGCCCGTATTAACTAATTTGTATCAGTTTCCCATTGATATGAAATACAGGAAGTTTTGGGGTGAGACTTGTTTCAAGAGGTAGTCAGGCCTTATATCTACCCCTGAACATGTTTAAAATAAAACTAAAAAAATAAAAGCACATTATTTTAAAGCCCAGTCTTTCTTATTATGTCCTATTAGTGTATCAATACTTTAAACTTTCAAGAAAAAACATGATTTTGCTTTTGTTGTGTATGCTTTATATTGTGAGTTTGTGACTTTTGTATTTTGAAAAAAGCACTAAAAACATCCAAACTATAGTCAGCTTTTGATACTTCTTATTTTTGGGTTTAAAATTATTTATAATTTTTTAAATGTATCAAGGACAATGTGATATTTAAACCCCCACGACGCGATTAAATATATGAATTGTCATATGTATTTGATAATACATGTGCCAATCCATTACATAACAATATAATGTATTTAATAGCATTAAAAATATATTCAATGACATGTATATTCCACATGACAATTAATATAGATGTTATGTAATATTTGAATATATTGAATGACATGTGTATATCACATAACAATATATATAAATGTGACGTGGCATTCTAAATCTACAATATTTTTTTAATCTATATATTAATTTTATTTTAAAAAGTAAACTTCTAAAATTTTTTCATCTAAAATCATATCACAGTAAAATATGAATTACAACTTCTCGAGGGCCCGTTGGCTGTTGACACTCCAACCTGTACAATTTAAAAACAGCGAAAGCTATCTTCGGGACCGACTAGCGACTCCTTTTTGTCTTTTCTGGAACAAGAATCCAGCAAAGACGCAAAATAAGAATTCCGTAAACGCCACCGGATATGCTACAAATAGTACGTGTAAAACAGGCTTACATGAGCCAATCAGAATAACACACGTCAGCCCGTTTTACACGTGTTGTTTGCAGATGATCCAGAGACGTAGAAGGCATTCTTGGAGTTACTGAGTTCTGAGTTCTGAGTTCTAACTTCTAACATGGAACAGAGCGCCAGAGCGGTCAGATAATTTGGCGCGCGAAAGGCGGTAAGCATTTACTATGCACCCACAAATCTGCCTACAATGACCGAAGACCACTAATTCTTCGTCATTGATTGCCCGAATAAGAAAAGAGAGTAAAATCAATCAATAATAAACCAATTCAAACTAATAATTCAGTTCAAATCTTTCAACTCAGAGGATGAAAGGTCTAGAATAGACGATAGAGCACAGATGTCTGCATCTCCATTCCACCATGGACATAGTTTCTTCTTCTTTTTGTTCGACTTCTCCTCGTACATAAGCCCAATACCCAATATGAGAAGCTAAGCTTAACTTCGGTACTATCTGGTTTGGATAGATTTGTTGGTTTTGTGGGGGAGATCGTTAGAGGAAGAATGGAGGGGAGTAGGGAGGTGAAAAAACCATTGCTATCGACCATGGAGGGGGAGGGGCAAAAGCCCGCCAACGTTAACCGACGAAAATCGAGACGGTTATCGGTGAATTCACTCAGGGCCGATTTCCTGTGCAGGTTGCCGAATAAGGTGAAGTCGGCAATTGATCCCGAGAACCCTTATCGCGCTGATTTTTCCAGAACAACTTCCTTGTTGGAAGGTGAGGTCTTTCGTGCCTTTTGTTCTACTCTGTTCTTTGGTCCTTTGTAATGGTACATGGCTTTGTTTCTTAAATCGTTTCGTATTCACATGGCTTCCAAGAGGTTGCTCCTTTGTCTCACTTGTTCTATATCTGCACTTATAATTCGATGTTTCTTTCTCAAGTTGAGGCTATTCTAACTGCTTACAATTAAAAAATTGGCTATTGGGTAATTGGTTTTATATTGAGCAGTACTGTAGTTCAAGTTTTTTAGTGACTGCTGCTCTGGTTGAACTTCTTCTCTCTGTTAACCCCCAATGGATAATTTATTTCAAAAGGTTATAGATTCTCAAAAGGCTTCAGTGTTTGGTTCTATGGTGAAATCTCGAGCCGAGAAGTGTGAGGACGCGGGTTTGAGTCTGAGAGAGGCCACTTTGTGCAAGAAAACGCCCAAGGTTAGTCATCAGGAATTCCTTAATGGAGTTTCAGTTCCCAAGTGACTATGGTTGGTAGGTCTATCACCAACACAGTTGGATTCACGGAATTTTGGAAAAAGTCGTTCTGCTGATATTCTATCTGTCATGGGTGTTTCAAAGTGTTTATTGAACCTCAGCAGGCCTGGAGTTGTTTTGGAGAGGCATTCTATCTCATGCTTGTCTCTGTTTATTGAAACCCTCTGGTACTTAGTTGGGTATGACATTCAGGACCAAGGGATTCAATGTATTTATTTATCCATTTTGTAGATTCTGTCAAATATACAATGAGGAAGAACTGTGAAGCAAAATATTGAGAAGTTGCAGTGTTCAGGATTAGGAGGTTATATTCTCTCTTGTATCTAATAGATCCACTCTTTAAGCTCCACTTATTTTAGTTTAAAATGGACAAAAAAATTAATGCTGAAACATTTGAGCTATGTTTTTGCTGCAAAAGAGGAAATAATAACTAAAATATTTTAACCTGGAGAAATTTCCATCCATTATACAGAGAAACATAGCATGTGTATTGTTATTAAACAATTTTTTTTTAACATTTTGTAGTTGTCATTATTTGAGTATGCATTTTTCAGACTGAAAAACCTTTGTTCAGTTCATCTTTTCACTCCCGATAAAAAAGTTCAAATTTAATGAATTTGAGCTACTGTTGTCACTTTCCTGCACTTTTTATGTGGAATAGTGGAATTTCATGAATTTTTATGGTAGAGATCACGTACACATCCTACATTGGTTAAATTGGACACATGTGACAACTGTATTGCCAATACTTCTTGGCTCTTCTCTTAGATTATATGCATCACTGGTAGCTTTGCAGTCACCACCAGAACCAACCTTTCTAGAAAGCAAGGTTACTCTTGGTTGTAGAATTTCTTGCAGCTAACAAATCGTTGGCTTTCTGTCGTTGAAGGAGCTTCACATAGGCTGTATTTAAAGATGTGTCTTGTCATATTAGTGATACTCTTTTGCTTGTAAATCCTACTTATCATGAGTTCATTGGGTGCTTGTAGTTTTGCTCAAATTTAATTTGTTCATTCTTTCTGATTGTCTTTTCTTCCTGATGTGGATGCAATTATGTTGATAATTATTGGACCCCTGTAATTTACCAATAAATATAGATTATGGTGCTTTTTCTGAGTATGTTAAAATTTCTATGTAATTAAATATCAGAAATGAACTGAGATGTTGATTGTATTCAAAGAAATTTCTACTTCATATCTTTCTATTGTTCTTGTCTTGTACCTAATTTAAACCCTTCCTGGTCATTTTAGGAGAAAAGGAATATTATGAAAAACAATTCTCTACATTGCGATCATTTGAAGAAGTTGATTCCTTAGGGATGACCAATGGCATTGATGAAGATCAACTTCGTGAGGAACAAGCCCAACAAGAAAGAGCAATGAAGATCTCTAATTATGCTAACATCTTTTTGCTGGCATTTAAAGTATTTATATATTTTCCTTTGTTAACTCCATGTTATAACCCTGAAAGTTTTTCCCTAGAATTCCTAGCATACAACCTTTCTAGATTTTCTAACACCCCTCGCCACCAACTTGTATGATATGTTGATGCAGTTAACTGATTGTGCAGTTTGCAAGCTTTGGCTCTTTGAACTGATTATTTCTCTATTACAATGTGCAGCTCTATGCCACAATAAAAAGTGGATCATTAGCTATTGCTGCATCAACATTAGACTCTTTACTGGATCTCATGGCTGGTGGCATTCTGTGGTTTACACACTTATCAATGAAAAATATCAATATATACAAATACCCTATTGGAAAGTTGAGGGTGCAACCTGTAGGGATTATCATTTTTGCAGCTATCATGGCTACTCTTGGTATGGTTATCTACATTAGATGGTTATGGGTTTGTAGTGAATTGAGAGGCAAATATTGAACAATTATTTTCTAATAATGCACCAATTTTTAAATTCATGTAAGTATGGAATTATACCAGCAGTTCTTTTATATATGGATTTTTTATTAATAGAATAAGTTGGTGATTATCAATTTCCTTTATCTGTAAAAATATCAATGAAATCCAATTATTCCAATTGTTTATTTAATCTTCTGACTTATTTTTCTGCCTAATAATATTGAACAATGTCTTGTATGATAGATGCTTATGAGAACCAATGCCCATAAGCTGCTACTTAGAATGATTCCCTGCTGTATCATGAAAATAACATAACTCCCTTAATTTCTTAAAAGACCCCAGCTATTGGATTCTACCATTAAATCCACAACTTCTATTTTAGTAAAAGGACAAAATTAACCCTAGAATTGCCAAAAGATCTTTCTGCATTGCAATATCTAGTGCCATACCTGATACCCCCATTGGATCCTGCTCAAGATTGATGAGACCTTTCTCTGGTTCAAGAGCCACGGTACTGTTTGTCAAAAATACCCCTCATTTTCCTTCTCCAATAACCATTCTTTATTGTTAGACTTCTCTTCTTTTGAACCTTTCTTGCCTAGTACATCCAAGAATATTCATGAATCTTCCCTTGTTTTCTTGGTTCTTTGTTTTTTGCTTATCTATAAAAGCAACCAAATATATCTGGTTGACTAGTGGAAAAGTCTTACAGATCTCACATGGTGGGTAAGAAGTGGTTTCAGATATTAAATAGGGGAAAGTATCGAGTACATGTATGAAACTCAGATTTGTAGTGCTTAATAGGAGAAGAAAGCTTAAGAGAATGAGAAAATAAATAGATTTAATATATAATAGTGGGAAAGAGGAGTTAAATAAGAATTGAGATTACAGCAGAGAATAGTTGTAGCAAAAAGAAAAGAATAGAGGAAAGGAGAACAGAACAGGAGAAGAGAGAGATACAGGGAAGATTATGGTGGTAGAATATATTAAACATTTTTTATTTCACCATAAATCACCTTATTAGGGATGACAATGGAGCTGGTTTAGTACAGGTTGGGCTTTAACCTAAATCCTACCCAACTTAACCATCAACCATCTTTCCCCGTAAATAGAGAAGGTCAGGGCATGAAGTGGAGAAAGAAAAAACAAAAATGCTAGTAGAAATATAATAAATTAAAAATGATGTAGAACAAAAGATATAACACCTGATATCATCATTAAAAACGGTTAATGCCTATATGATACACTTCAAATGCTTATGGCACAACAAATACACCTTAACCCAACCTGATCTGAATTTTTGGGGGTTGTAAGAGAGACAGAACCTTAGATTTTAGTGAGTCCCCATGTCCAATCGGTCCTGAGTACATTGCTACCACCACAACTTCTTCATTTCTAAAGACTCTCCCAATTACTAAAGGTCCAGGGTTACCTAAAGAGCTTTCATCAAAGTTCAGTTTCACATTGTTATGTGAAGGGGGTTTCCACTCTAGCACAACTATGTCCTTCACAATTGTGGATTTTTTCACTGCTTCCCATGATCCAAAGATGTCATCCACCAAGAAAGTTTTGAAAACTTCGCTTGTTCTCACCCTATGTGCCACCTTCACCTTTATATTATTTATTATGTATTCTCTTTAGCTGTACGCCTGTACCTCTCCATGAAATTCCACCCATTTCTTTCTTCCCAGATGGTCTACACCAGAGCTGTTCTCATACCTGTGCTCTAAGCAACTGAGCCAGTATAAAATGGAATGGAATGCCTACACTGCAAGTTGTTAATTTAATATCATAAAGTATGAATAGAGTGTAAGTAAAAAGCTGGAAGGCTTGATGCAAAAAAAAAAAAAAATTGAATACAAGGCTACCCAAGGCCACAGGTAAATATTGCACAAGAAAGACAAAAAATAGCTCCTAGCTAGGCAGAGTTATACCCTAGTACAGCTCACTGCTTGCTACTTCCTCCCTTGCTTGACTGTCAATATTCAATTTGAACAATCTAGAAATGAATAGAATGAGGACTGTTTCCATTTACTAATATCTTGCTCCCTTGCTGCAGCTTTATGGAGTTGGAGCTTTAGTTTATTTGATAGTAGGTGGATTCCGCTATCTGATGTAAGTTTGCTGTTTAATCCATCCACTATCGCGTGGCATATGAGAAGAGGTAAAATCATGTGGAGATATATCAGGGCAACTATCTTATGGATTATTTGGGAGGAAAGGAATGCTAGAATATTCCTAGAGAAGGAAAGAAGCTTGGCTGAAGTTAAGGACTGTATTTTAACAAGAGCAATCCATTGGCTGAAGACTTTGGTTATGTTTTCCGATTTCTCATTTGATGACCTTTGGAGGAATTGGTCAGCAGTGGCTAATACCTCCACTAAGAAGAACAGAAGTGTGATAGAATGGAAACCTCCTCCAAAAGGTGTCATTAAATTAAACTTTGATGGGAGCAGCCAAGGCAACCCTGGGCCTTTGGGTGTAGGGGATGTGCTAAGGAATTAGGACAGCAACATTATTTCCTTATTCTCAGGACCGGTGGGAGTGGGAGACTCTACAAGGGCAGAAATACTAGCTGCTATACAAGGGATCCAGATTGCCAATCAGCTTTGGGTGGAACATCTTCTAATTGAAGGGGATTCTCAGGTGGTAATAGCCTAATAGGGTGGCTTTTAAACCCGGATGCTGTCATTTGGGGCTATAGAGACCTCAAAAAAGTGAAGTAGCTAACTAGTAATTTGAGAGTTGATGATGTTAAATGGGTAAGCAGGTTGGAAAATACTATGGCTGATTCTTTGGCCAAACATGGGGTTTCGAAGGAAGGTCTTTTTTGTGCTATCTTGTAACTTGTTCTAGTGAATTGGAAAGCTGTATTTAACTAGTATGGAGAGGTTGCATTTCATGCCTCTCCTTGGGAAGCTTGTACTCTATTACCTTTGGTGATTAATAAAATTCATAATTGTATAAAAAAAAATGAATAGAATAAGGGGTTTACTATTGTTATCAAAGGTACTCTATCTAATTTGATAGCTGATATCCAAGATCCCCAGATCTGTCCCACATCAAACCTATCACATTTTAAGTCTCCCCCAAATAAGGATCTCCTAATAGCCCATAGAAACTAAAATCTAAACCTTCAATAACAAATAATAGCTCAACTCTTACAGAATCACCTATGCCTATTAGTCTAACAGATGCTGGCAATTACCTAAAAATGGTCCTAGCTATTTGGCCTTGGGGTCTTGGGAGGGGTAAACTGGATAAAGACCTAACATTTTACTCTTTTTTTTTTGGCACAAGGTGGCTACTCTCAGACTTAAACCTGCATTCTCACACTTGTCAGCCCAAGATCTTACAACCATAAATTCTACGTTCTTAATTGTCCAACCCTAGATGGTCTAGATTTCCTAGAAATCATTCATCAAAGTTTAGTTTAATAGAATTCTATCTAGAGAGTGAAAACATTAGGACTCTATCTTCTCTGTGAGATGAGGATTTGGTCAAAGTAATCCATTCTCTAATGATCAGATTTGCTCCAACTCTCTGAAAACTTTCCAAGGCATGTGGTTTATTACTCTGATATTGATTAACTGAATTGCACTGATTTTGCCCTACTATAGAGTATGCAATAATTATATCTGTATTCTCTTATTCCTAGAATTGAGGACTAAGAGACTTACTTATGACTTCTGCTGAAAGTTTTCTAGATTCTGAGGAGCAGAGGTTTTGATACCAAAAGGAGAGAAGTGGTTTGAAACGTAAAGATGCATTGAATGAAAAGGTGGTTCACTTACTCATCATGAAGAGCGGGCAATAAGCATGAGGAGACAACATCATGCTTCTATTTTCATCAGATTTTATTAAAAAGTCACAAAGAGAACTATAATATCTGTTCAAACACACTTCAATTCTAGAGCTGCTCATTTCCCACAGAACTAAATGCTCATGAATTTCATTAAACTTGGCAAATAATGTGTATCTTGTTCTTGTTGTTGGTGATGCTTATTATTGTTGTTGAAGTTATTGTTATTGTTATTTCTACTAGTACTAGTAGGCTAGTAGCATTATATTGCTTTTATCATTTCTAAGATTGTAAGTACTTGTTTTCTTTACTTAGGCTCTTTTTCCTGTGGTATTGAACATGTCATGAATGGCTTTTTCTTGATAGACATATATCACTACTCTGAGTTTAAGGCAAGAACTCCTTAAAGCAATGCTGAGGTCCCCATACATATTATTTGCAGGCTTTCAGGTTCTCATCCAGGCTGTAGAACAACTGATTAAAGATGAACCTTCTGAAAAGATGAGCTCAGAGAAACTGGCATGGTTATATGGAATCATGTTGTCTGCTACAGTGATAAAACTTGCCCTTTGGATTTATTGCAGAAGCTCAGGAAACCAGATTGTTCGTGCCTATGCAAAGGTTTCCCCTTTAAATGTCAATTTGAGGGTTCTACTTATTTTCATTCTGCTTTCAAATACACCAAATTTTATAACTTCTTGACCAAAAATTTATTTTTTGTTAACTAATTATGCCCCCAGGATCACTTTTTCGATGTGGTAACTAATGTAGTAGGCTTAGTTGCTGCTGTTCTTGGTGACAAGTTCTACTGGTGGATCGATCCTGCTGGAGCTATTATTCTTGCAATTTATACAATCACAAATTGGTCTGGAACTGTTCTGGAAAATGCAGGTCTCTCTCTCTCTCTCTGGAACTGTTCTGGAACTCTCTCTCTCTGTGCATGTGTTTCTGTGTTTGTTTATTGTGTGCGAGGAGTTAATACAAACACAGAGATATAATTTTTCTCCAAAATTAAATCCTACTGCAAGATTCTTAATAACTCCACAGTAGCTTATTTAATTTCCGTTTTAGATTGTCTTCTCCTCTGTGTGTGTATGTTTGTTTATTGTGTGTAAGGAGTTAAGGGGAAAACACAAAGACATACAATGTTTCTCCAAAATTAAATCCTCCTACGAGATTCTTAATAATTTCACAGTAGTTTATTTAATTTCCCTTTTAGATTCTCTTCTCCTTTCTAAAGTTCAAGAAACCAGCCAACCGAAGCTTTTAGTTATCTATTTTCCTTCTTGCTGTAAGAACTTTGTGACATTGGTGTGGAATCATGGAAATAAACTGTGGAAGAAGAAAAAAAGTTTCTTCATGTTCTTGAATCGGTGACAGTTGTATAATTTCTGGATAATTTGGATTTTGGTATTTTTTGAGTTTTTTTAGTTCAGTTTCCAATTTGTTGTTGGTGTCTTAGTATTAGAGTCGTTTGCCCTAAATGGTCATAGTAATTTAAAGAGTCGTATAAGAATGTTTTAGAATTTTGATAATGCAACCATGTCTTTAGCCTATTTCTTCATGGGCCAAAACTTCTCTGTTTTAAATAATCTTGGTGTCATTAGATACGAGTTATCTATCCAATTAGACCAAGATCTTGTAAATTTAATGTAATTTGATAGAGCTATGGATATTTTACTGATAAGGTGTCACTTTGTTATGGTACTTGAGTCTTTCTATTTTCTTGGTCTATCATGAAACTGTTTTTATTCATATAGTTATAGTAGAATGAGTAGTGAGTATTTAGAGTTATTTTGGGAGTCTAAGAAATGCGTAAGGGGGATAACTAATTCCTCTTCCTAGAGTCAATAAATATATTTTCTGTAAATTAGCTGGTTCTGAATTTGATTATGGAATAACAATTTGAATCGATTTGTTCTCTTTTCTTTCTCTCTCTCTTCCACAAAGCTGTAACCTCTTTTTTTTTGTCCTCTTTCTATTCTAAATTCTACATCTAAAGTCATTGTACTTCTCTGTTTTTGATCTGATTTCCCTTTGCTTCCCACCATGTAATCCTAGGACTTTTCTCCTTACCATCCTATATTACTTTGATTCTTTAAAGGGCCTGCAATGACTGAAAAACAGATATACTGTGGAAAAGTTTACACAACAACATTGACAGGACTAGAAGTTCTGAAAATTTGCCCAAATTCTTATTAGACTGATCTTCGAAGTAGAAATAAAAGTAATTTTCCTTCAACTCAAAATAAATGACAAAACAACTGTCGTTTTTTTCTTATTCAACTTTTCTGCAAGAATGAATCTTTCTCAAAGAGCTTCCAATAGATTTTTCATTTTGAAGTTAGGAAATAGCAATTTTCAACTTTTCTTATTCAAAAACTTTCAAGAATGATTTCTTATGTATCTAATCAAATTGTTTATTTACTATGATCAGTGAGTTTTAATGTGAGAAAATATGTGATTGATATTAATTGACTAATTAATGTGATGATTTTTTATTTAGAGTTGAAAACCTCAGTGATTAGAATGAAATCAGCATGGTTTGGAGATTGATTTTCAGAAAATGAAAGCTATTACAAATTTACTATTTTGACTAATTGCTTTTTGGTACACAACACTCTTGAGCTGTCTCCCTAATCCATTTCTCTTATTATTTTTCTATGGTACTTTTCGATGCAGTTTCTCTGGTGGGACAATCAGCCCCTCCTGAAGTATTGCAGAAATTGACATACTTGGTCTTAAGGCACCATCCTCAAATCAAGCGTGTTGACACGGTCAGGGCCTACACCTTTGGTGTTCTTTACTTTGTAGAGGTCAGTTGAGTGAAAGACTTCTAGTCGTGTAATTTATTTACTTGTTTGGTTAATTTCAAGACTTATAAAGAGTCTGGGTCTGCTGTGTTACACCATTCTGTGGACTGGGCTGGTGTCCCCAATCAGATCCAGACACATTTTATCTCATATCTGTAGAGCATTCTAATGTGTATATACAAATTTATGATGCCGGAAACACTTTGACCAATCAAAACCCCATGAATTTTGATGAAAACCCACCTCATTACCACTTTTATGATGTCATGGATGGGTTCTCTCTCTCTCTCTCTCTCTCTCTCTCTCTCTCGTGCGATGCACGAGAAAATCTGAAAGATTGAATAATTTTATTTACTATTAATTAATTGATAAATTAATAATCAAAATTTATTGTTAATTAACTATAAGCATCCAAAGTTATTGTTAATATTTAAAATTTTAATAATTGTATTTTTCATTTAATGTTGATTTATAGAAAATAGTTATTGTTAATTTAATATGAACAAATATTTTTAATAAATTTTGATGATGTGCGATCTAGCGGCTCCCGGCTGGTTGATGACTCAGAAGCTGAGCTAGAGAATTCCTTACTGGAAGGTGACTCAGATGCCGAGTTGAGTAAGGCCGAATTAGAAGATAGCTCGGATGTCAAACTATATAATGGAGAGCTGTGTAATTTTCTAGGAGACCTACAGTGAAACAAAATTAGAGTGCCCGGGTTTCTTTACCCGGGGTGGGCACTCCAATGCTTAAATCAATGAATTGGAGATTTTTGAGAAAGCTAAAAGTAAGAGAGCTAGAGAGCTACGAGAACTAAATTGCACATGTACCTTGTGAGATTGGAGGTGAGGCCTATATATAGGTGTTGTTTGGCATGGGCTTCACGCACGACGTTCGAGATCTCTGGGAGGTCATGGCTGGCCAGGCCGAAGTCTTTGGAGTTAGTGGCTAATGTAGACCAGGCTTTGTGCCTCCGAAACATTCGGTGCAGGAGCTGACTTCCGGAAGACCCAGGAGTGACGGGATTCACACACAGAGGAGGTTGGCAAGCACATCTCACAGGTCGCCACATGGACCTCAGTCGAGTCGACAAGTCCTCAAGGGAGGTCGCTCCTCGCATCGAGGTCACTTGGACCAGTAACAACGAGGTACCACAGGTCGGCCCTGGACAAGGTGTTCCTAGCCACCTTACCAAGGTTCCCAAGTTGTAAATGAGGTTGCCAGCTAGGACTCCAGTTAGTCGGCGGAGGTAGGTTGCCAGGTTGGATTTCAGCTAAGGCAAATCATCGCCTACATGGTGTTGCGGTGTCGTCCAACTGCTCTGAAATGCCACATGTCACGATGCCAGTGGAGGGCCAAATCTGCCCTCATCAATTGCCCCCACTCCCGAGATGAGGTCAGCTCGGCGAAGGGAGTAGCTTGTTGCATGTTCTTTGGTCCGGAATGACTAGTTCGATGAGCTCGTAGGCATTGGTCCAGTTCGCTCCCCAAGTCGGAAGTCTTAAGGCTTAAATGTAGCCTTATGCAGGATTTCACCGTCTTGATTATCGAGGCACAGGAGCGAACTCATCTCCTCGAGGAGAGGCGGAGCAGGCACCCCGAGGACATCTACCTTATTAGGGATGCAACCGTCAAGGAGTTCTACAATTTGGCCAAATACCTCAAGAGCAAAGTTTGTCATGTCGTCCTCGAGGGGCTTCCAACTGCATGACTGCCTCATCAGGTCACTCCACTTACGTAGACTACAACACAATGTCCTTCATGTCGGTCCTCGAAGGAGTAGCCGACAAGGTCGATGCGGAGCCTAAAACCGAGGTGGAGGATGACTGTGAAGAAATTGGCCAAGTTTGCATGTCTAATGCAATGCTGAAAGCGAACTAGTCTTCCTTTCTTCCATTTCTCTTCTTTTATCTTTTTTCTCTTTTTTTTTTTTTTTTCARGTCGACGGTGAGATGTTGACGTCCTTTGAGGTCGATTTAAGCATAGTGGTGGCAGTGCTGCTGAGCTAGATAGATGGGGAGCCGACCTGCTTATATCGGTCTACCCGTTGCCGCCGTGTTTCGTGGTTGGCTTGAGGGGGCCTTAGCTAAAAAGCAGTATGGCTTTTCCTTAGATGGTCGTTCTGTAGTAGCTCTAAATGTGGCTACATCTATGCTATCACGTGGGATTCACTCTCCTAGTTCTACGCTTGCGAGTCAATGCCATACATGTACCGCACCTACTCCTGGAACTGTTGGCCGCCCACTTCTATTGGAGCCATGGGGGGCTCACCTTGAGGGGGTGGCTCTGCTGTTTACGGGTTACCTACTCTCACGAGAACCATAAAAGGTTCGACCTGTGAAGCCGTTCCTCGTTCAGTTAGCTGCCAACTCTCACGGGAGCCATGAACGGCTCGATTAGTAGTGAGGCTTCGCAATTTGGGCTGGGAGACAATTTGGGCCAGATCGCTGAAGCTAGCCCTGGCTAGTGGTTTAGATTCTGCCCCTGTGATAGCTTTGTCAATACGTGTGTTGCTGTCGGTGTTGGACGGTAGGTCGGTGCCACGACTGCACCGCATTAGTTCTCGGAGACGCTAGTCGCTACTCCTATGATAAGTTACAGGGATCTCGACCTGTGGGGGCAGCTCTACTAACTGTAGGTCGCCAACTTGCATGGGAGCCTTAAAAGGCTCAACCCGCAAGGGCGACCGCACAATCCGTTGGCCGCCGACTCCCGCGAAAGCCACGAAGGGCTTGACCTGTAGAGGTGACCTCGCGAAAAAGAGCTGACGAGGCTCATTCGGGGTTATTATCGTTGAGTGCGAATATAGAATGGGTTGTGATCGGCAGGGCGTCTCTACAGTTTGTTAGCCGTCAACTCCCACGGGAACCACGAAGGGCTCGACCTATGGGGGTGGCCTCACTTCAGGGTACATGTCGTCGGTCTGCTGATTGTTCAAGTTGTTCTGCTACTGATTGTTCCGATGTTGTTGGTCGTTCTGTGGTGGCATGAATGCGTCGAACTTCTCCTCCCAAGCACGCATCTAGAGATTCAAGCCACGGACGTACTGCACCAGCTTGTAGAACTGTTGTGCATCAATCCCCGTGGGAACCGCTGACGGCTCAATCGTAGGAAAGGGGGCGTTCACTTGATGCAACGGGAAAGCTGGGTTCAATACCACATACACACCAAGTAGGGTCAATGGTACTGTAAAATTCCCGATAGTTATTGAGGGTAGTTCTGGTCGAACAATGGGTTGCTCCTGCCCCCCAGTGACTTGCATGTTGCTATTGTTGACGTTAGTGGAATTGTTGTTTTTGGAAGAAGCCATTGAGTTTAGTAAGAGTAAAGAAGGTGAGAACTTGGCTTTTTTGTTGCGGTTCCCATAAGTGGCGCCAATTGATGGTACGCGCGATTTATTTCTCAATAGTCTGCTTGCTATCAAGCTTCAGCTCGCACACATAGAGTACTGACTTAAGCATCGGAGYGACCACACCGGGTCCTCTGAGCCTTGTTTCCTTGTAGTTTGACCAGCCAGCTAAGCAACCAACGTCCAAGTTGCCCTCCAGCTAGGAAAATCCAGATTGCACACCATCAAATTTAATTATATTAATCATTTGTAGTAATTTTAATAATTGTTATTATTTTCATTATTTTTTAAATGAAAATTTGATTGACTTTAAATAAATAAAAATAATTAACAATTATATAGGAATGGCAACGGGGCGGGTTCGGGGCAGGGCACCCCATCCCTGTTCCCGCCTCGTAGTAAAGACACTCTACCCCATCCTCACCCTATCCCTAGTGTCAGGTGGGTTCAGGGCAAGGCACCCACTCCCTGTTAGGGACGAGGAATCCTTAAATTTCTTTGCCTTGTCCTCAATGTTGGGAAAATTCAGGGCAAGGCACCCACTCCTCATCAAAGATGGGGAGTCCTCGAATTTTCCCCACCCCATCCTCAATGTTGGGCAGGTTCAAGGCAAGGCACCCACTCCCCATCAACCCAATATTCAATTTGATGACAAATATTATCAAAATGATATATTGAGTATCAGCCCACATGATAGATTTCTAAAAGTACACTAAATTGTCTTTGATTTTCAAAAATGTAATTTTATGAAAATTTTGGAAATTTTATTACATTCAAATTTATTTTTAAATTGCTAGTAAATAATTTATTTCCTTTTCAAATGGTTTAATTATAGAATTACACTAATTTATCTTATATTTCTAATATAAACTGATCAATAATTTCCTTTTTCCAATATTATACTAATTTATCTTAATAATTTGTGTAATTATTGATTCAAATTACAGTTTTCCCTTTCCCATACTCATTTATCTTTAATAATTTTCAATAATTTACAATGAAAATTACATAATTTTTCAATAGTTTTCTAAAATCTATCAAATGTAATAGTTTTTCCTAAAATTTCTAAAATATTCCAATAAATTTTTATAGTTATTTAATATATTTTCAGTAAACTTTCAAAAATTTTATATCTTTTAATTTCCAAAATGTTATTTTACGAAAATGTAATGTGATGAAAACTTTATTACATTTGTGTAATTATGGAGATTTATTGAAAATTATTTTAAATTGTTATTAAATAATTATTTTTATTAGGTAGTTTATTAACAAATTTACACTAATTTATCTCTTATTTTTCGATATAAATTAATTAATAATTTCATTTTCCAGCATTATAATATTTAATTCCCCTATCTGCATTCGGTTTTTAACTATAATTAGTAAGCATGTACGTGCATTTGCACGTGGTAGTATTTCTAAGACAACTATTTATAATTCATTAACATTTTCTGAATGGCTATAAGTGGGTAGTTTCTAAAGTGAGAGTAAAGGACATATATGAACTCTTTATGCATGTTGTATGCTTAGACAAGGGGGATAGAAAACGTCCAATGAAAATTCCAGAAAGAAGGGGCATTCTCTCTTTAATAGATAGTATAGATAATAGCAATAACTAAAATTTTGTACTTTTTGATAATTGTTAAATATAATTMTCAACTTTATAGAAGTTAGTTAAAGAGTTTTCAATTCCCAACCCAACTACCTAAAAATATTCCTACGATCTCTCTCCTAAGGTATCTCCTCTAAGCCATTAGGAACTTATCATGTTACCCCACTCCCCAATCAATTCCTAAAATCTCTCCCCCTAATCTATATCCACTCTCTCTCTCATTTAAAATATTCGTTTTAATCAATAAATAGTTAAATACGGTTAATATTTAATCCAACTCATATTCAATGAGTATTAAATAGTGTTATTACCAAAAGTTAAGTAAATTATCAAAAATTAAATGTTCTTATTAGTACTGTTAATAAATTAATAAATATTGTTATTAACTAACTCATCATGACTTTTTAAAGTATTTTGGGTAAATATTGTTATATTCATGTTAATTAACAACATTTTATAGAAATTGAAAACTCTTTAACTAATTTCTATAAAATTGAGAATTATATTTATCAATTATCAAAATGTATAAAATTTTAGTTATTGCTAGTATTATAGTTAATAACCAATGCAGATGGGGGAATGAAATATTATAATGTTCGAAAATGAAAGTACTAATTAATTTATATTGGAAAATAAAAGATAAATTTGTATAATTTTGTTAGTAAACTACTTAATAAAAATAAATATTTAATAACAATTTAAAATAATTTTTAATAAATCTCCATAATTACACAAATGTAATAAAATTTTCATAACATTACATTTTCTTAAAATAACATTTTGGAAATTAAAAGATATAAAATTTTTGGAAGTTTATTTAAAGTATTAAATAATTATTGAAAATTATTGGAATGTTTTGGAAATTTTAGGAAAATTTATTACATTTGATAGATTTTGGAAAACCATTGAAAAATTATGTAATTTTCATTGTAAATTGTTGAAAATTATTATTAGATAGATGAGTATGGGAAAGGGGAAATTGTAATTTGAACCAATAATTGCACAAATTATTAACATAAGTTACTATAAAATTGGAAAAAGGAAATTATTGGTTAGTTTATATTAGAAAATATAAGATAAATTAGTGTAATTCTATAATTAAACCATTTAAAAAGAAATTATTTAATAAAAATTTAAAAACAAATTTTAATGTAATAAATTTTCCTAAAATTACATTTTTGAAAATTAAAGAGAATTTAGTGTACTTTTAGAAATTTACCATGTGACTAATACTTAGTATATCGTTTTGATAATTTTTGTCATCAAATTGATTATTGGGTTGATGGGGAGGGTGCATTGCCTTGAACCCGCCTGACATTGGGGACAAGGTGGCAAAAATTCGAGGATTCTCTATCCTTGATGAAGAGTGGGTGCCTTGTCCTGAATTTGCCCGACATTGAGGACGAGGCGGGGAAATTCGAGGATTCCCTGTCCCTAACGGGGAGTGGGTGCCTTTCCCTAAACCCACCTGATACTAGGGACAGGGCGGGGATAGGGATGGGGTGTCATACCCCGAACCCGCCTCGTTGCCATCCTATATAATTGTTAATTATTAGTGATTAATAAAAATGTTTGCTTTTATAGTTATTTTTATTTATTTAAAGTCAATCAAATTTTCATTTAAAAATAATAACAGTTATTAAAATTACTACAAATGATTAATAAAATTAATTTTATTAAAAAACATGTGTTGATATTAAATTAACAATAATTATTTTCTATAAATCAGCATTAAATGAAAAATGCAATTATTAAAATTTTAAATATTAACAAGAACTTTGAATACTTTTAGGGTCCGTTTGCTTTGCAATAGGGATTGGAATTGGAGTCAAAATCCTTTGGAATCGGAATCGGAATGGTCCATTCCCATAGTCTATTTGATTCAAACACAAATGGGAATGGAAATTGGAGTCAGCAGGAATGGGATTTCATTTCCAAGGGAGGGGCAAGGAATGAGGGAATGGGCATTCCAGCAAGAATGGGAATGGAATTGCAATTCTATCCAACCAAACAGTTGAAATTGGAATAGCCCATTCCGATTCCAAACTCCTATTCACACGGACCAAATGGGGTCTTAGTTAATTAACAACAAATTTTGATTATTAATTTATCAATTCATTAATAGTAAATAAAATTATTCAATCTTTCAGATTTTCCCATGCATCGCATGGGTCCCTGCTAGTATATATATTGGGCAGCCCAGTGCACGAGGCTCCCACCAATTTGGGGTCTGGGGAGGGACAGTTGTACATAGTCTTACCCTGCACATATAGAGAGACTCTTTCCCAGATTTGAACCCTGGTCACCCAAGTCACAATGGAACAATCCAACTGTTACAGCAGCACAACCCAGGGAGTCGTAGGACGCTCTGTTACATCATACATCATACATAAAGTTCTTCCCTTTTTTTTCGTGTGTTGCTGTTTGAAAGATAAACCTAGGGGTGAGGGGTCCTATGAAACAATATAAAGCTGCAATTTTTCTATTGAGAATTTGACTTAAAAGAGCACCTAAGAAGGATATAGCAGTGGTGAATTTGATGTGGAACTATTGGTTAAGTTTTCATCTTTTATAGCAACTGTTATAGTAGCACAACCCAGGGGATCGTAGGACTCTCTGTTACATCGTACATCATACATCATACATAAAGTTCTTCCCTGTTTTTTGTGTGTGTTGCTGTTTGAAAGATAAACCTAGGGGTGAGGGGTCCTGTGAAACAATATAAAGCTGCAATTTTTCTACTGAGAATTTGACTTAAAAGAGCACCTAAGAAGGATATAGCAGTGGTTAATTTGATGCGGAACTATTGGTTAAGTTTTCATCTTTTATAGCAGTTGTGAATCCTGTAATCAGGAATGAAATTTAGACTGGTAGGTATTAAATTTTGTGCAGAAGGGAGATCTGTTCTCGTAATCCATTATAGAAGTAGTCCAACAACTACTTAATTTCGTTATTAGTACGAGGGGACTCGAAAGTTCATGGATTGAGGACGATTTAGAAACACGTCTCAATTCAAGATAATCAACTTCAAAGATCTGATAGTGATCTGTCAAGGTTCAGAAGGAGAGAGAGAGAGAGAGAGCTGAGTAGAAAAAAAAATAAGGAGAAAATAGATAACACATGTCCAGATCTGATTGGGGACAGGGCCCATTCCACAGCGTAGTGGACCCAGTAGAAGATCCCGAGTCACTTAAAAACACTATGACTTGGCACAATTATGGCTTCTTTCCTTTAACAATGGAGTTATTCCATCTTTTTCACAGTTTATTCTCATTCATTTTCAAGTTAACATATTTTCTTTGATCGGAAATAATAGGTTGATATTGAACTTCCTGAAGATTTGCCACTTAAAGAAGCCCACGCAATTGGAGAGACTTTGCAGATAAAGATTGAGGAACTCCCTGAAGTTGAGCGGGCATTTGTCCATCTAGATTTTGAGTGTGATCACAGACCAGAGCACACTGTTCTTAGCAGGCTGCCTGACAGCGACCCTTGATTTTGGAATTGCCATCTTTGTGGTTGTTGTTGTTATGATAAAGCAATCTACAGAGAAGATACAAACGAAGGCTTTTAATCCCTGTTATGTCATGCTTTGTTTCTGTGCACATCTGGAGAGAAAAAAGTAACGCTGGGTATAATGTTTTTGGTCTCTTGAAAATGGAAGTATATCTTCCCATGAACCAAAGATGTAACAGAACTTGTCTCAAGGAACTATGTAGGACCTTGTTAGCATAGTTGATTAAATACTGAATATCCCCTTAGAGGTGAATTTATTCTTGTAATTGAATCATCACAACCATTATATTAGTTCATAAATCCATTACCCAGTGGAGGTCAATTTATGATTGTATAGCTATTGCAACCATTAGGGTGGTGTTTGGTTTAGGGTTTTAAAAAAGGGTGGTATGGTTCCAGAACCAACCACTAGAGTGTAAGTTTTGATCAATGTTTTAAAAACTGAACCTGAATTGAAACTGCTTTAGCCATCAGTTTCTGGGTCAGTGGTTTGACCGTTCAAACCAAACAGATAGCCCGTTGTAATTTAAAAAATAAAAATGGATAAAATTCACTGTACAGGTTGAATGGGCTGATGGTTCAATCACCTAATTGGCAAAGAAATGATTCTAGTTTTTGAGCCGAATGATCCAACTGTAGATCGACAATTTGAAAACCAMGGTTTTGATTATATGATTCATGTGTACGTGTACTTCCACCATTTACTTGTGATCATATGGCGATCATCAAATTGAAACTTTTTGAATGAAGCCATATCGATATGAGTTTGGTTGAAGCCGGTGAACCATGCTTTTTGGATGAATTCGTAAATTAAATTAAACCAGATGAAACATAAACACAACCAGGAATTGAACATCCCTTGGTGCCCAACAACGTTTTCAATCCATTCAATTGCTTGCATATTTAGCTACATCTGTTCTTTTTTGGGGTTATAAAGAGTAATCAAGGTCTATACAACATGGTAATGGGATACCACATCTTTCAAAATAAATTAGGGTAAATTGCTGAAACTCCCCAGACCTTTGTTGAAATCTCTCCTAAAGTTTGATAATTGCAATCATCTCCCTTAAACTTTTGAGGTTTTTATGGTTCAGTCCACCCCTAGGTGGAGCTAGGATTTTTTAGGGGTTGACTGAATCCTGCCCGTGGATTATGTCAAATTCATGGACAGGATGTGGTTTATACTTTATAGGGGGTGGGGGCTACTAATAGACTAAAAGGGGGCTACAAATCAGAATACTGAAGTAGAGTGCAGGCAAAAAATCCCTAAACTTCTTCATATAATTATAAGTAGACATCTCTATTAGAATCTTCTAATAAGAGGCACAAAAACGTTATCACCTCTCTTACTATTGAGACTGATTTCTACAAAAAAAAAAAGTACAAATTTTATGAATAATAACAAAAAAACAAGAGTTTTAAATTCCAACTTTACCTTTGAGTGATTGATATGAAATTGTGGAACATGAATCAATTTTGAAAAAAAATTAGATTGCAAGGGTTTGGGGCGATAATTAATATGAAGAGAAAATTTAGAAAATTAATATTTTGGTCAAAAAAGCAATTGTATGACTATTGTGGACATTCAGCAACGGTCATTCAGAAATTTACCCAATAAATTACCCAAGAGGATGTCATTTTCTCTAGGGCTCAGTTTGGAAGGAGTACAAACATAAACATGTAGTGTGCAGAAAACCTTATATTTTGTTCTAAAGTATTTGCACTGTGCATATTTTGCGAGCAATAATATAATGAAACTGTGAGGGTAATATAGTAAATTTATCATATTAGCAACRCCAGCAGGGATTAGGGTTTCCAAGTTTTTCCAACGTCCATAACGCAAAATTCGGGTCATCCCACTACTATATAAGATGAACTGATGGTCGTCTTAGATTGGATTCATTTCATCTTCTGTTCTCTGCCTCTGATTCCTTCAACGAGTCTAGGGTTTATCTCACAGTTTCCTCTGTTTCGCTTTTCTTCTTCTGTTTTTCCACTATGCATAGTGTGGATGCTGGATCTACAGGAACCAAGGATCTCTATAGTGGCCTGTGATGCCTCAAATTGTCCGTACCATCTGAGATCTCTTACAGATTCTTTGATGTGYTCTTCATCTCTAGCTTTCTGAGGCCATCCCCTTGTGTTTCTGCAGACCCCATTTTCTCTTTTTGCTTTTGTTTTTTCAACTAATTATTTGCTGGAGAAGAAACAGGGGCGATGACGACGATGATTATACCATCAAACTATGAAAGCTTCAGGGCTTGTTGATGTCATCAAAATCATTACTATCTGAGCCTTTCTTTCTGGCATTTTTTCCTCATTTTCAAGAAAAAAAATAGGCTTAGGATGGTTGTTTATCTGGGTCTGCGTGAATGCAGATTAACAGCTTGAAGGCAACAAATTAGAGTCTCTGATGCGCTTTTTCTATAGCGTTTTCAGTGCTGTACGTTGCCGATAGAGAAATCGAGTGGAGATTCTGGCATGTGCTGTGTTTCTTTCCTTGCAGCTTATGCATTCAGATGCTCGRATATTATTCAACTTAAAKAAGAAGCTTTAAATTCTTGGTAGATCTCGTTGCTCTGCGATTTATATCTTGAAGACCGATGGATCAAAAACAGAGAGAATCTACGGATTTGTCGTCCTTTCGTTTCATGATGCCTGAGCGAGCCACTGGGCAAGACAATATGTTGATTTTTAGTGCTAATTCGGTAACTCAAACAAATGCTCTGTAGCAGATCTGGTGTACACCACAAAATCTCAACATTTGGCCAAAATCCTAATTAGAAATTAAGCCGATTGGAGTGTCGTTGCACACCATTTCATGCCAGGGAGATGAGCCTGTTTAGTTCAACATATCAATAGGGGTAGATTTTCATTATTATGAAGAGAAAAATAAGAAACTTGTAGTATGTATGGTAGATCACCCAAAAGTGTATAGTAATAGAAAAATCCATATACTAACCTTTTTTATTTGCCCAAAAACTGGCAAAGGACAAATATGCGCCCCTTTGAAAAAAACATGGCCTAATAGAAGTGTTAATTCTTGGAAAACCTATATAATTGTTAATTTTGAAGTTGATAAAGTTTAAAAATCCAAGAAGGGTAAAATACAAAAAATCTCCCAGAAAATATATAGACATCAATGACGACGTCCAACGTATCTGTTGGCCATTTAAATTCTTTGAGTTCGGCTACAGTCAGAGCAAAGCCCATTTGGGCTGCTTTTACTGCTTTGCATTGAGAGTATCTCCCAATGCAAGCTTACAAAAAGCTTTTAGAGTAGTGTGGGCACAGATTTGCCCCGAAGTCGGTCTCAAATTCTTTAGGCTCAGTTTGGAAATATAAGGTTTTGCGTGCTACATATTTACATTTATACTCCTTTCAAACTCAGCCTTAGGGTGTAAAGTTTTTATTTGTTAAAAACCAAATGTCAAATTTGGTGTTGCTGCAAGCCTCACCTCAATTTTCAAGGTGTAGTTTGGAGCACCATTTTTTTTATGAAAAACAGTTCCAAACAAACAGGTAGACCTGGCAATTGGGTTGGCTGGGTCGGGTTGGGTCAAGACACTTTGGGTTGATTTCAGGTTGTGTTATCAAATGCTAGACCCTAACCCTAAATGTTCGGGTTAGAGTTGACCCGAGTCAATTCGGGTCATCCCAAAAAATAACTGAAATTAAAAAAAATAAAGAAAAATTAACTAGTAGAAACTTCTAACAATACATAAACAGTCCCAATTAGAATCAGGTCAGTGGGTTGACCCATGATCCAACCCAACCCAGTTTTTTTTTGGGTTGGGTCATTCTCACATTTGGGTAGGTAAATATGAGACCCTAACCCTGTTTTTTTTTGTTGGGTTGGGTCATATTCGCGGGTTGGGTCAACTTTTTGTCAGGTCTATAAACAAGCATTTCTTGGAACACCATTTTTTTCAACCTGGTGCAAATGTATCATTTTCTGGAGCAACAACATCAATGCCAAACACACTTAGGAAAAGAGAATTAGTGGCGTGAGTTCCAAACAAACAAGTTCATATTTCACAAATTTATAAATGCTTCAACTAAGTACCAAGTATTAAAATATTGATATCAGGTAACGTATCAAATAATTGGAATATGAATATGGATATGCTTGGAAAACATACAACACAGACGAAATATATTGAAATGTATGAATATACTAAAGAAATGTATACAAATTCAATAATTATATTAATAACTTCAAGTTTAATGTCAAAATAACTAAAAATAATGTATAACTACATAGAAATTGTATATTTTAATGGTATATCTAAAAATATATATTACCATTAATACTCTTAACTTAAAATATGTCAAATCTATTAAAATTTTGAATGTATATCATATGAAAATTTATAAATTTTAATTAATAAAATAAATAATTTTAAATGTATATCAAATCTATGAATCTTTTAAACTAAAAAATTAATTCTTATTTAAATATTTCATCTTTGTAAATAATAAATATATTGTTAATTAATACAAATTAAAATATTAATTAATAATTTATAAAATAACAATTATAATTTATCAAGTCTACATAAACAATTCTAAGTATTAAAATAATTATTCTATTAATAATGGTTTTATTTATATAAATTTATTGAAATTAAAAATCATATATATATGGATTTGATAAATTATTTATTTTATTGGTTTATAAAATAATAATTTTAAATATTATTCTTTTAATTTATATTATTTGTTTAGATTAAATTTATTATTAATTTTAATAAAAGATAATTTATCACTTATTATCACAAAATAGAAGATAGCTTTTTTTAGTGAAACCATCTTAATCAGTGATCAAATCATGTTAAACCCGCACTTTTCTATTAAATTCGAGTTTAATATGCCCCTGTATCGGTGTGTATCGGCTGATATTATACGATACGCACTGATACTATGGCATATTGGACAGATACGGCCCATATCGGGCATTAAGCACGCCAAACAACAGGAAAGATTGCCAATGCCTGATACCTAATTTAAAGCAATCGTATGAGAACCTTTCTCATAAAATTAAATTATATATTGGAGAAAAATCTTCTGCACCAGCAGTAAAGCTTCTCGTTCCCTAATCAAAGAGATATACAATGAACAGTAGAAAAGAAAATGACAACCTTACTAGTTACTTCTGAGCAAATATACATCTTTAAAAGTACAAGCTTTAGATCTACTGTGCAAGTTGACGGCAAGCTCCTATTTCAAGAATCAAGATACAGTGCGTCCATAGCAAACACACGCGAGGTAGAGATTCTTTGACCATTTTTCCTGTACATATACCACCAGAATCTTAATCAGCCAAAAGATATCAATACTGTGAACTGAATCACTGCTAGTCTTTCACCAATATCAAAATTACTGATGGACTGCCAACATCTAAGCTGGTCAAATCAACGACCTACCTCTAGAATTAGCTATATCTAGAAAAGTTACACCATCAAGATCCATAACAATCAACGGTCACAACTGTTAAATTACTCATTCCTGAACCAATAATACAGAATTACAGATAAAGAGGTGGTGTGACCTTTGGGGGTAAACATGATGAAGGTAACATTAATAACAATAATATATGAAACAGCTAAACATGGAGGCCAGCTAAGTGGGCAAGTTGAGATGGGGTTATCACAACCAAATGGACAAGTTGAGATGGGGTAATCACAAGCAAATGGACAAGTTGAGACCATCATATGATAGAGGGAAGAGAGAACAGAAACCACTGGTCCTGAACTTCGGATCCAAATAGAGATGGAATCAGTGTTTTAAAAGGCATGGGAGGCGTATGCCTGGAGGCGTGCCTCCAGGCAAGGCGCTCCCAAAACGCCCTGAGGCGTATGCCAGAGGCGCTGACACCTCTGAGGCATATGCCTCTTGCRCTTTTTTCATGAGGCGTGCTAGAGGCGTATGCCTCACATTCTGACATAAAAAGAAGAAAATAGTACCCAAGAAAAATAACCCCTGAAATGTCTTTTAAAATGGTTGTTTAACCCCCTTGTACATCCTTGCAACAGACAACAGTACCATCCGCGTCAGGTCTCACCTTGACATGCGTACTTGGGAACTGAGATGTCCTTAAGGTTTCCTGAGTTTCATCACTAGGTTTGCGTTTGGGCACACTCAAGATAAGAGCAGCTTGGTCCCATGTAGCAGCTGCACATGTTATTCGGTAACCATTATCCCAACGTCTATGAATGCCCTCACTTGGATAGAGAAAATCAAGCTCAACAACCTGCAGAAGCCAGTCACAAATATCAAAATGAATAAAAAATCCAGATATACAATGAAAGTATGAAACACCAATTAAAAACAAAATACAATATACGAAATAACTATTTAGAGAATCACCAGGAAAGACTCATCAGATGATGGTACAATGGCAAATATTATGGATGGGGTGAAAGGCAAGTAAGTACATCACAAGGAAGAATACTGCTGAGTGAGAAGTCAAACAAGATTGAATTTCAGTACATATTAAGCTTATCAAAAAAAAAAAATCAGCACATATTAGAAAAAACAATCGTAATGGCTGAGTGAGAAGTCGGTTCTTATTCTGGTTCTTCATTCTAGGAGAATTCAGAAGAATGAAATATGCAGCCTTCACAAATAACAGCAAATTCAGAGATTTTTGGCTATTATAAATCAAAAACCAAAGCGAACATGAAGGTGTTACATTCTCTTGATTGATGTACTATCATTGGTCATTCAAAGCATTCAAGAAATTGAATGTCTTTCTCAGTAACAGTGATGCCCAGACACAAGGACATGAAATTGGGTTACAACTTTCCACTTCCTAAGATTAGAGAAAGATTCAGATACAGTCAACTTATTTAATATATTTATATCATGCTTTCGAATCTAGTTCTTTAAGTGTGATTTCCTGATGCTTATATCATTCTCAAATTCAATTAAATCTCTAAATAATACATCATTTCATATTATGGTTTGTAAATATTCCAATTTTATATATTTTGGAAGTTACAATGCAGCAGAGTACCCTAGAAGTATCCATGCAGTATCCAGTATCACACCAGGCATACATTGTGTCCAACAAGGGTATGCTAAGCATGTATAGGAATGAGTATCATAACTGATGACTCGTTGACAAAACAGCAATTATTTTATGCATCCCAAATATTGTGATTGGTTACTTAAAATTTCATTAATTGAAAAGTTAAGTGCGTATATACAACTATCAAGCACACTCAAGATGGTCCAACTGTGACCAGACCCTATGATATGTAGATACATAAAAACGTCCCCATGAATAGCTGAATTATTTAGACCCCACTCTGTGGATCCATGAATATAACATACTCATTACCCTCATCATAGCTTTTGTCTCCCTTGGGGTGCTTCTGTAGTGTCAAGTGCCCTTGCTGTCAGCCTTCATCAAAGCTACTACAACCTCTGAATCCCCTTCCACTATCAATTCTGTGATGTTTAGTTGCCTTACCAACTTGGTTCTATGAAGTATTGCTAGAAGATCTGCTCTTGTTGAGTTTCCAAAACCTATAAGCCCTGAGAAGATTGCTTTGTGCAGTCATGGAAATCCCTAATTAGTCCCCAGGAGGTCCTGGGTTACCCAAACTGCAAAGATCAAAATTAGGCTTGTAGGCACTATTGTTTGGTAGGCACCAAATAAAGGAGATAATAGTCTTTTGCCTGGAGACTCGGCCCTCATTTTGTTCTTGTAATATCGTGCACAGAGGAGTGGTCAAAAGGGCCAATGCCCCAGTGCATCTCTATAAGACTCTTCCTCTCTTTCTTGATGGTGAAAAGAAAGTTACCCTAAAGAAACTCTCCATCTCATGGGGAGGGGTCCACCAGCAACCAACAAGGAGAAGATCCTTTCCCAAATCCAAATAACAAACAGGGAGATCATTAAGTCATAAAAAGACTACTCTGGCAAAACAAAACAAAACATGCATGAGGGGACAAACAACAGTGAGGTCTTCTTTTCAGCAATAGATCACAACACGAGTGTATATATTTTGGTGGAACACCTTCCAACAGAAAGCCCTTATTTCTGATGGTTCCAACCAACTTCAAATTTCCTTACAGGAAATGCAATGAAGCCAATGAATGATGAGAACAAAATTTAAAGAAAGCAAAAAAGAATTTCCCATAGGCACAGGGGAACTAAATTCTGGAATCAGGGCGAGAGGGTCCAGAAACACTCCTTCATAGAGGGAGGGGAGGTTCAAAACAAAGGAAATCCCTACATCCATGGAAACCAAGATCCCAAGGAAAATTAGTACCCACGAAAGAAACAATAGATGAAACCACTCTGCCTTGATGATTAGATAGAGAAAAATAACTAAGAAAATATTTCTTTGAAAGCAGAGTTCCCCTACCAAAGATCCTCCCAAATATCATAAAATAAAAAATACGAGTATAAACAGAACTTGTGAGAAGGCATGGATGATGATGATGAGTGTAAAGAGAATCCGTGAAAATGTGAAATGATCCCTATATCTCACTTTTGCACCATAACATTAAATAAACCTCACTGATAAATAAATAAATATTTAATAAATGTTGAGAGTAGGAGCCCAAATGTGAAACTTGACCTGATCATTAAAGCCAGCATTGCGAGACATCACAACACCCCATCGGCTGCCAGCAGTTGCCATTGAAGTCACATGAAATCCCTCTCTCCATTTCTTGTTTATCCACTTAAAGGGAAAGGAATCACTGACTTTGTAAGATTGTTGTGTGTATTGGGTGCCTACAGAAATTTTGCCAAAACTTCACCAGTTTAATAATTAAGATTCAATTGTGATGTATACATCTGCACTTGAGTGGGTGAATATGTTAATAAGAACAAAATTCAATCTACCAAGAAATACAACATTGGACTATGGTTAAAAAGATAACCACAAAAGAATAAATATTATAGATTAATCAGAAAGGACCTGAAAGTTGTAAAATTAAAAACAACAAAACAGACAGAAGTCAGCAGTACAAAAATTGAGGACAATCAGACCTTCATAATGTAAAAGAGAAGTAAATTAGAACAAAAAAGAAAATCCACAACAAAACTTTCTTGCTACTAAAAAGACAGCTAAAATGGCATCTAGAAAAGTGGGGTCATGGAAGGAAAAAGAAAATTGCAGACACTTGCATATCTTGACATAAATAGCGAACATGAATCAACCCCTATCCGAGTTTGTACTTCACTGGGCATATCGTATATAAGATGAAGTATGGTTTAAGTGTTGCCCAGGCATTGAGAAGGCAACCCAGTAGATGTATCTACGGCCTATCAAGTAGACAACCAACCTAGGGGTCTGAGTTGGTATGCCAAAATAAATAAATAAACAAACTTTGTAGTGGATGACWGTATCCCACTTAATTGCAGGCTGCCTGTGATATTGCTCATGGGTCTAACGTGCACCCTGCACTGTACCCACCCAAGTCCCCTGAAAATGTGTAATATGTAATACAAGAAGCCAAATTGGAGCACATGGTCGAACCTAGTCTTTTCAATATTAGCTAGCTTACTACATGAATGTGAAAAACGAATGTGCACGCCCGTATTAAAGTTTCATTGCCAGTTTTGATATATAATAATAATAGAATATATGTTCCACTCTGTGGCATAAAAATGTCATATTAGTATTCTTTCAATTATATATTTATTATTGAAATAAAAGATGAATTGGGCAGCCAGAAAGAGGACCAACCCTTGGACATCACCACCAGAGAGCTTCCGTTTGTAGAACCAGCAATGGAACTGATGTAATAGTTCTTCTCCCATTGCTCCATAATCCATTCCTATGATGATTCAAGCATCAAAATTTAAAATATATAATGTAATTTGACATATAACAAGAACTGAGCCAACAGGGGTTCCAGATATAAACTTGTTATAGTAACACAGTTGTACCTTGTGCAAGAAGTATGGGGACAGCTCATAAACTTGACTGGTGTAACCAGTTCCAGCATCCATTATGAGTGCCCAAAGATTGGAGCAAGATGCCACACAACTTATAAGCAGACCATCCTCATTTCCTCTATCCACATGTTGGCGCAATCGTGTATCAGATACATTATAATGGTACCTTGTTATAGATCAGGAGGGAAAAATGAGCATCCAGTAGGCAAATCTTAACTATTAGAGCATTTATTACATAGYACAATATGCTATTTTGTTTCCAATCAAAATTTACATAAAACAATGCCAATATGCTATTAGTTGTTTTCTAATGTTCTCTCATCCTTCTTCATACTAGATATTTTTCGAAAGATCCACAATTAAAATTATAAAACAAAATTGAACTAAGGCACACCAGGTGCACACCATGCACCTGGCCTGTGTGCTATGCGCACCTTTTAAATCACTGGACTTTCTTAGGGAGGCCAAGTGTTCAGCATACAGAGGGTTCACTAGATTTGAAAATAAGCAAATGAGATGATGGGCTCCTCCACCAGAGGTGGCAAAAAGAGGACTTGTATGGGCCATGGGTCATTCACTGTAACTTTTTGGATGTACTGATCCAGCTAAGGATAATGCTTTTGCTGTTTATTATCCATCATATTAACTATATTTTTGAAAATTTTTAATAAAATTTGTTCATCTCTTACCAATCAAAATTAAATTGCCACTACACTGACAGCAACCAATGGCAAGAACAGGGAATACATAAGTGATGGTTAACCACTTTCACTTACATTACAGTTAAATTTTAAGGTAGGACAACTCTTTCCGGGGATGTAGTCATGTAGTTGATAACTCCTTGTATACTGAGGGATGGATTTACAAACCTTACCAGAATATATATATATAAACACACACACTGAGGGATGAATTTACAAAACCACCTCGGTGAGGTTCACTGGCATTGCATCAAACAGCAATCATAAGTGTACGGATCATTGGAAGAAAGCTTGATCTGGAAGTCTGAGTGTTCATTCGAAAAGGATTGTTCCCCACAGAACAGTCATTTTATTAATGTGGAGAAGAAATGCCTACATGTGGAAATGATTGGGATGTGATAGAACCAATACAACAATAGGCCGACCACATAATTATGAACAAAATTAACCCTATAATAGCCATCAATGCTTGAACCGGAACATAATAAGAATGCTGCCTTTTGGACTTCTGTGCATTTAAACAAGAGTAGTATTTTTATTTGATGAATAAGAATGTAAATTTTAGGGAAATGTAATTGCAAAAATTATGAACAAAATTAAGATTTTGTTATTTTTCTCTCCTCACATGCTCCAAGGAGTTTAGAAAAGAGTGCAATATACATATTCTGATTTTGGACAGTGCTGGCACTCTATCTTTACTCCCTCTTGATTTTCCTGATGTAAACTTATTCATAATGACATGTACAGCTAGCTGTCTTGGGAGTCATCCGGAAACCTGATTAAGGACAACAGATCAATGCAGATTTACCACATAACCTGACCCATTGACACCTCTAGTAGATATTTGTCGTCAGCCACATGAATCTTGCAATGCCCTCCATTACATTCAGTGGCATGCACTTCCATTTATGTCTTCAGACAAAAATTAAATCAAAATTTAATTAAACTGCTTGTGAAGGACAATGTTATTATAAAACAGTAACAATGTACCTCTGTTTCATTGGCATCCTAGCGTTGTAAACTGATATCCACTGAGTAGCAGGTACTCCCAAACGGACCTTCTTCTTTGGTTGTCCATCATCTTCTTCTTCAATGGTCAACCTACCCCGTTTCTGACCAACTTGACAGATAATCTGGCAAAGGTAGCATAAATTTTCAAGTAGTAAGAAATAATAGTCATTATAGAACTCTATCAGGCTCAAATATGTGCTTATTACCTTCTGAGCACCATCAGTGTTAATTGGCCTTATGGCTGGGTTTGGTCCAATCAATCCCTCAAACAAAGATACTAGCATGGAATAATTGGGCTCTTCATCAAATTTCATGTTCACAACAATTTCCAAAAATTGTTTAAAAGGTGGAGGGCAGAAGCAACAAAGCATTTCAGGAGATGTCGCCATCTTTTTCTTGCAAACTAGGAAGGATTTGTTATCACCCTGTAAAAAAATAATGTATGTCAGTTCATTAAAAAATGTGTCAAGCCATACAGAATAACTTTAAAACAAACTTTAACACCATAGGGATAGAATCATAGAATGCATTACCTGATAACCCTGCCATGGTAGCCTGCCACGGTGAAGAAAGAGGAGAGTATATGCAAGAGATTCTAAATCATCTCTCCTACTCGCAGTTCTTCCCAAGTGAGCATGAACACTAGCATAACGAACAGTTCCTCTGCAATAACAAGCATGGAAAATGACATTGAGAATGAAAATAAATATTATAATAAAAAATTGCACCATCATCATATGAAAGCATAAACATCAACCAACCTGAACATATCTGGGCGTTGGTCATATTCAACATGTCGACCAGTAGCATCATCTCTCCATCTTGTTGCTGCACATATAACAAACAGTGAATGAAAAAGGTATAATATCCATACACTGAGGTGTGCCTCAGTTTTATTGCAACCAGTGCTTTCATGCACTGAGACATGACATGAGGCAGTCCACTTCCCTAAGGCATGTGACATAAGCTTCATGAGCAAGCATTTTCTAATACATAAAATAAAAAAGAGTAAGTTGTTTATTGTATTCATTTACCACAAAAACTAACAAAATTCTGTACCCTTTTATGTATACATTTTTTATATTTTACAAATTTTTTGACTGTTTATATTTTTATAGTTCTATCATTGTTAAATTGATAAACATTACATTACATTTTTTTAAATATTAATTATTTTCCTTTTATTTATTTTGAAAATGTGTAATCAATTTCGATACTGCTAACTAGAGGTAAAAATGAAATTTCTGGCATTCATATGGGCTAAAAAGCAGCTTTGTAACTCCCTCCTTCCACCCTTGTGTTTCGGGATTGGTATGCAATGTTGAATATTGATAAATTGGGGTTTAGGGTCATTAGGGTTCTGACATTGACTTATCACAGCAGATAGTAGCAGGAAAGACAGCAAAAGGCAGATGGCCTACCAGGTGGCTTTTCAGTGTTTTTTGCTTCAGGCGGAATGAGGATCATAAGTTGGATGTGAGAGGGCTCAGGAGTTCACAAGAAGGAACAACAAAAGAAATGCTCAGGAAAGCTAGGTCAAAGAGGACACAATGTTTGTCTACATGAATAAACTAATGACTACTTAACTTCCTTACCTAATCCAAGATCAACAAGGAACAACCTTTTTTCCTGTGGCGTATCCGGCTTTCCAAGTAAGAAGTTTTCAGGCTTCACATCACCGTGAACATAACTAATATCAAAAAGAGAAATTGTGTGAATAACAAGGTATTAGAGGAACGGTGTTGACTAGAAAAAAGATGCTCTAGACCATAGGGTAGCTGCACTTGCAGAATACCATGACAAAAGGAAAATCCCAGATTAAGAAAAAGATAATAATGCAAGCAATGTAGATAACAAACAGTTACCCTCTAGAGTGCATCTTTTCTAGGATTGATATAGACTCAACTGCAATGCAGGCTACCATTTCTGTGGACATCCTGCAAATTTTAGAAAAATGCCGAAAAGGATATGTCAAAAATCTAGCAACCAATCTTGTTACAATGTTACAATTCGAAACTCAAATCAGACCATTCAAATTGAAGTGGGGTATCATATGAATGCTACTATTGACTTGCTTTTGAATAAATTGATTTGTGCTCAAATCATATGCCTAGAATCAGAAACCTAACAAATTGTTTGAATCATTGGGCACAATCTGCACTGACCATCTCTTGTGGCTCTACTTATAAGAATCTTTATGTTTCCCKTGATGTCATTCTCTCTTAAATCATTTTTATTGGTATCCTCTCTTAAATCAAATTTTAAAAGAATATAGAGATTTAGACCACAAATTCTAGTGATTTTTTCCTAATCAAAACCTAATAGCCTATTATTGCTCTTTACATCCAAGTAAAGACAATATAGACTCAGGTTCTCAAGTTCTTGATTGCATATCATGAAAGAGAAGGGGAAATTCTTTATAAAAAACTAATATTTTCTTGTCATTTTCTTTTCTTTTCCTTTTTCTTTTTTTTTTGTGTCTGAACTTAGCCCATTCATGAATTATTGTGAGAAATAATGGCATCATGTGAAAAAATCTTGTCAAAATTGATTCCAAAGAACAGCTTGTCCACATAGAGTTACCATGGTGAAACAAGTTTATTGAGGTGTTTGTAAAACCTTATCATGAACATACAATGGAAAAGTGTAGGTTACATCAGTACAGGTAACACCGTAACAAGGAATTTCTACTAACAAAACCCCAATCAGGAAGAATCAAAGCAAAAGTGTAAGACCCCATGATGTAGATACAAAAGCAATGAATATGGAGAAATAAATTGTCTTCTAGAAATTTAGTGTTATTAGTAAACCAAAATTACTATTTGTTGTAATTTATGGACTTCTTATTAAAGACTTRAAGCAACTCCTGCTGTAATAACTATTCACAATAAAATTGTGATTTACTGTTTTCATTAATTTCAGGCTTATTTACAGTAGTGTTTTAATAGGACAAGCAAATTGTTACTAGAGTTTCTCAAGGAGATAGAATCCTTATTTGAGTGTCCCTATGGGTTAGCTTTGTGTCTGTCATAGTTTTCAAGTGGTCAAAATTTGTCCAATCACTGAATCACTGGTCAAAAAAAGTTGTTTTGTACTTTTGGGTCAGTTTCCCAGTCTAAATTGGAATCCATAAAGGGACATAAGGGTTCTTGTGATGAGTCTATAAATAAAACGACTGTAATTGAAAAAATAAAATTGACTTGATGAAATAAAGTTTAGTTTAGAGAATTTTGATTGTTGCTAGTTTTTTTCCTTTATTCCCCTCTCACTCATTTTCTTCTTCTTATAAGTGGCCTATCTCTTTGTAGTTACTCTAACAACAAGACATAATGAATTATTCTCTTTTTTTCTTGAATGGTAAGTGGTAACTGTAAAGTATATTCATTAAGTTGAAAAATATGCACAATGACAATTACATAAATCAAGCTGGCCTCAGCTACCTAACCCTTGTACAATATCTCGCTTCACCATACCTATTCCTCATAATTAACTACCCAAAGCCCGCCTTCACCCCACAAAGCCCACAGCCAGATCCAGAATTTGTAAGAACCCCTACCTTGTCCGGTATCACTTCCCAAAATGTTTAAAACTTTTTTTCTGAAAGGGCAACAATGAGTTCAAGTTCAAATTAACTCCACAAGGAAATAAGAGAAATAGCTGCCCATAAATAACCAATGAATTCAGCTTTTACCAATTTACAGCAAGAACAAGGCACAAACACAAAACTGACTAAAAATTAACCTATTCAAAAATAGGAACATTTTCATCATTAACAAATTATGATATATTTTAGGTATTTTAAGCATCTCTTTAAAATGAACAGTTAAAGAGAAAACAAAAACACAGAAATTACAATTGACCAGGGGGGGAATTGAACTCCCTAACATAACAACAAGATTAGGAGGGGATAGGCATGCCCCCGTTGTCAAGGAAAAACTAAATTAAAGGCAACAATGTCAAGACACAATAGAATTTATGAAAGAAAATACTCACGCTTGCCCTGAAGAATTCCATGCATCCCATAAACTAGGCCCCAACATATCCATAACCTGAGATATGTAGAACAAAACTAAATTACACACAAATATTTCTTGATAAGGAGAAAATCGTTTGATAAATCAAAAAAGGAGCACATAGCCCACAGACAACATATACATTATAGAACAATTACATGACAAATTAGAAACAGTGGATGATGAATAGCTAAAAATCAAAAGAACACAGTAGCACCTAGAGAAAGCAGTATAACCGTATAAGAGCTAGAGTAATCAACAATCACTTCTGGATGATATTCTCACATTCCTAGATGCTTTGGCGGAGCAAGATCTAAACGTTAGATTCATCTTAAAAGGGTTCAAGTTGTTAGGAGGTCTGAAGGCTAATGTATCCAAAAGCATATTGATTGGAATTGGAGTAATAAGACAAGATTAAAGGCTGTTGGACTCAATTATCAGATTGGGAAACTTCCATTCAATTATTGGGGAATACCAATAGGGCCAAAAGCTTCTAGTACTGTGACATGGCAACAAGTTCTGGACATAATTGAGAAGAACTTGCAGAATGAAAAGGAAAATACGACTGTCATAGATATTGCTAAAGTTCAGTGCTTTGAAGTTTGGGTGAACAAGTGCTATGATGCTCAAAAATTTAGAAGATCATTGTTGGATTGGGGATTGGAGGAATGTATTAACTTCTAAGCAAATTGGAAGGTTAACAAGTTGACCCAAGGAGGAAGGATGAGATAAGGTTGAAGGAATGCAGTAATAGGAAGTTAATTGTTACATCATATTACAAGGCATTAATTAGAAATAAAATCGAGAGTTCAGATATGGGGGGAATATGAGCCAGTCTCATCCCTCAAAGGCTGGTAATATTTGCATGGCTTGCTCCTATGGATAGCATTAAACAAACCACTTGAGAAGAGCAGATTCCAAAGTCCATTATATGTGTAGAGAATGCAGCCAAAGCAGACAGAGAGCACTAGAGGAATTTTCTCAGAACACCATGCATACAAGAGGGAAGAAAAATAAAAAATCTATGAATTCAAAATATTTGGGTATGGAATGAAAGAAATAGTAGAATTTTTTAAAGAAAGTGCAGAAGTACAGAGAAGATATGTGCCCATATCGTAGTTTATTGATCATGGACTGGATGTTGACACACTTCAAGAATGTTCAGGAAAATTAAGAAACTCTTTAAGGGGAAACTTCTGGTCAACCTTCAAATGTGAACAAGTCTGTCAAAGGTGTTCTGGGTCTGGTGTCTACTCGGTTTTTGAGGAGCATTGTATTAGTTGTCTTGATTTCTCTTGTATTAGTTGTCTTTTGGTGATGCTTTATCACCCCCTCAAGTACTGTATTCCTTGTACTCTTTTTTTAAAAAAATCATCTTTCAGTTAACTATCAAAGAGAAAAAAGAATTATACTAATCAACAAATGGTAGTTAACAGCAATGCCAAATCATGAAAGAAAAATAGATGAGCTTCTTTTCTTTTATTATATGAAAGGAGAAAAGAGAAGGGAGAGGAGGGAAGGAGAAATATAAATCTTACCATTACATAATAATCACCTTGCCTCCCTTTATAGTGTACTCTAGGGACTCCATGACTACCACCAAGAGCGCTGTTAAACAAGAAATTGCAACAAATAAATGTGGATAGGAAATAGATATTAGAAAATCTAATAAAAKAAATGGTTGGAGAAAAGCCTGCAGATATACTTGTAAACTTGCCACTCATAAGGAGGACCATAGTTACAGCCTTTACTGCTTCTATGCTCAAACTTTAGAGCAACCTGCTATGAACAAAATAGACAACAACAACCAATCCATGAAAACTTTGGGGGCAAAAGAATTCATAAGTAAAAGAAGGATAGAAGAAGGTCCAAGAGAACATTCATAAATACCATAAAAATTCCAACTTATAGTCATTTGACAGGCATAATAGTGGAAGAAAAGAGGGGAAACTGACTAAAAAAGAGCTCCTCCAAACCATCCAACTGAATCCCAGACAAACAACCAAGTTTCTGAACTTTAGACCAACTCAAGAAGAAACCCAAAAATGGACCAATGGGAACAACAGAATAGGAGCTCTGAGGAATCCTATAAAGTATAAACCAACAATAAGTTTACACAAAAGCCTGACAATAACTCTAGCTGTCTAGCATATGAGTTCAGGACGCTTCATCCTTATTGTACAAAGCCATAAACAACAGTTCTTCCACCTAATGACCTCCAATGATATAACAAATATAAACCTAATTTCACATATTATTGTTGATTTATGACGAATAATAAGAGAACTAAGCTAATAATAAGAAAAAAGGTAAGATAATTTTACCTCCATAGCCCCAGAACCTGTTGCCCTTTCATTCCCTCCTGATACACGGCGACCAACAAATACCTGACCAAAACCACCTTTACCTAACCGCCTTTCAATCTTGTAGACCGGTGATCCTCCTACTTGAACCTGGATCTCAAACCAAAGAGGAGATTTAACAACAAAGCAACATATACAATGCATAACCACTAGCTTCTTCACCAGCACCACCACCATGATAATATACATTATCAAATGACCTCCCTAATTTAACTTCAGATATTGACTTATTTCACAAGTACTTTGGGATTATGAGTGTTATGCCTCACAAACTATTGGCAATGGCCTTATTCATGTCATGCTGGAATCTTAACAAAGCATGTGAAGTGTGAACAACACACTATCCGCAGCATAGATGCATCATGTGTGGCACATTTATACAGTGTGCATGTACCTCATTAGCCACTTGCATGCACCATGTCCATCTCAAAGACTCATTCAATCAAACAAATCCCAATAGGCAATARTTGGACCAAAAGAAGTACAATAATAAAAACCCACAAGCAAAAGGATAGTATTTTCTAGTAATAGAGTTCTGCCTTCCAAGTATCAATGTAACTTCTTGAATGGATTACATATCAAGCAACTTTTTCCTATCACAAAATACAATAAAATAACACTTCAATCAGTCGTCATGCCGTCACAGTTGTATTGATTTTCATTTCCATTCTTCTAACTGCAAATTCTTTCTTCAGCTGTTCATTATCTTGCCCCTATCTTAATCTGATCTACTTTTTTCTATGTCGGTTTACTACTTCTGGTTTTTGTTTTAAACTGAACACTAATATGAAGATGATATTCAGTTTCAAAACTTCTTTTTCCATTAGCTTCTAGTACAGAAACACATCCACTAGAACGGGTTAAAAAATGCAAACAACAAAGTTGAATATATTAAAGGAATCTAAAAATAAAAACAAACAGGCATTACAATTGATCAGAGCAGAAAAAGTAATGAGATCCCAATAAATTGTAAATGTTTTATACAAATGCACAAACCAGGATTGTAGGATCTAAATCCTATCTGAATGAAGATTCAGGATACGTCCACTGCCAGTAAGTTTGGATAGGTCTCCTTTCTAGTTGAGATCTTTGTTGTATACGGTTAGAGTACATGTACCCGGATGGAGGTATACGACCACTAGTCAAATTTGTCTAACCTTAATACCTTGATATATGGAGAGTTCACTAAGATTTTTTTGGGTAAATTACAGATAGCCACTTTGTACCTAGGAAGTGGTAACACTAAGCCTGCCAAACTTTGTTTTGCGACAAAGGCTCCCCCCTCTGGAATTTGCAGATTACAGCACTTTGCCCCCTGGCTTGCTAATGGGGTTCACAGTGAAGGTAAAATCACTATATTGCCCATTAAAGATTTTATGGACTGACAACAGCAAATATCAAAATGATGAAAATAACCATTCTGAGGCACGAATTATTCTCAAGGCAATGATGAACCAATAATTCTCAAGGCATTTACAAGATGAATTTTGTTGAAAGAAAGTTGAGAAAAACATGTGAGAATTCAGATCTTATAAAAAAAAGCAAGTTAAAAGGGAAAAAATTGTCTCATGAAAAAAACATAAGGGCAACTTGGGGTTTTAGATATGTTTAAAGGAATATTCCATGAAGCCAATTGATGGAATGCTAACGGCAAGAGCAAAATACTGGAATACAAAAGTTCAGGGGGTGCTAAGTATCACTACCCCTAAGTACAGGGCAGCTGTCTGTAACTTACCTCTTTTTTTTGGATAATCAAGAGATTTGGCTAAGAATTTCTACCAACACGAAGATATATAGAATCCAATTTTAAGCAATAGAAATTTTCTTAATTAGGAACCAGATCAAAGAGTGTTAATCATGCAAGGAAGTCACATTTAATATTTTAGAGTAGTTCAATGTCGATAGCGATATCGGGTAAAAAACAGGAAATACCAACAAGAAAATGCAATAAATGAATTTTAACACAGTAAGACAGAATTCATAATATAATATGTTATAATAATTTCTTCAAAATCCCCATTGCATAAAGGACAACCCACAGCAGTGCACAAATTACAGTTTCAACTTCTAATAGCAACTATTCAAAGAAAGTCAATTAATGGTTTACTTGTTTTTTAAACCGTTTGAGTTTATGGTTTATGTGGTCACATATCTAATGTAGTGGACAGTATCAAATCCGTACTAAATCCATCATAATTTAGCACCAAAAAAGTCACTTTTAGATAGTGTTGCATGGACATAGACATGGGAGTTGGAATCCAACATGCATCTAAGAGTCTGACTCAGTAAGGTGAGAAAATAATGATTTGCATACACATCTATAGAAAAGTATATAGTATTAAAAGTGATCAAGAATGGTTACTTTTAGACAGTGTTGCATGGGCATAGACATAGGAATCAGAACCCAACACGTGCCTAAGAAGCTCAGGGGTAATATCACAAAACATGGAATCACGGACACATCTATAGAAAATAAACAGTATTAAAATAAATTATAATTTTTGAGTTCTAACATTATATCTCTACAAAAAGGTACCAAAATGTTGTCTTTGTTACCAAGTAAATATTTGGTAAGAAAAATGGCATTTATCTTGTATATCAGTTGTTCATTTATATCAAATAAACTAGGGGATAAAGACAAAATATTATGTACGCTTTTAGAGACGTTTTCAAGACAATTAAGAAAAAAAATAGGGTCAGTTAGTTTAATGGATCCAACATACATACCAGATCATATAYATAACAATACCATACGTGAGATAGGTATTTTGGGTAACTTGAAGTGTCTGAGAATCAAATGACACGAAAAGTTGGGTTCTTATCACAATACTAAACCCTACAATGACCAAGATGGTGAAAACAGTATCCAAAACTAATTTTTCCACTGGAATAACTATAACAGCAGGTCAGAAGGAAATCATAGCCAGCACCAACCAAGATGGGGAAAAATGGATAATGCAGACAGTAAATAGAAATGTGAAAGAAGCAAGGGAAAATCAATATTGCAATAAGATAATTAGAAAGAAATCAACTTCTTGAGTTGGAAAAGAAGAAAAATGACGATACCCTCTCAGGAAAAGGAGCAGTGCTCCCTTCTTCTTCCTGCCCACCAGCCTTGTTGGCACTCAACCCACCACTCTCATCATCCATCGCTCCCTTTCTTCGACTCTCCACCCGAACCTCCTCAACTCGCTTCTCAATCCAATCACCTCTTTCCCCCTCCTCCAAAACCTCCCTAAACCGCTCCCCACCCGACTCACTCTCCTTCTCCGAAATAACAATTACCGCCGCCTTCGCCCGGTTCCCCGCCGCCAGTCTCGTCCTCTGCTTCACCGTCCGAGTCTTATCAGCAACAGCCGCAGCAGCAGCAGCAGCTTCCGCTGCTTCCTTCGCAACCGCCGCTCTGGTTCTGATGCAACTCCGGACCAAGGGCTCAAGTTCCTTCACAGCTCGACCTCTTGACTTCCCTCGCTGATCTACGGTCGGAACACGACGGCGACGTACCCCTTTACGCAGCTCAGGCATTCTTCGCCCATGCAATTGGGAAATACCACCTCTCCCAATCCGACCATTATCTTTCTCAACGAAACTGCGACTTCCCTACCATTGCTGAAGCAGTGAATTCCTCTGTGAACCCTAAAAACACAGAACGAAAGGTTCCACTGATGCAACAGATGCAAAAGGCAACGATCAACCGAGAAGCTAATAACGTGATGAATGGATTCAGCAGAAACTAGCTTTTCCTTAACACTTAGCAGGCAACAGTATAGAACTCTCTTTTAGGGTTTTGCAGCGCAGAAACAAAGAAAACAAACGCTATGTCCGAAACGTACCTGAGAGAGAGAGATGGGGGGTCGTGTTTGAGAAGGATTTGTTTTCCCCCTTTTTTCCGTCCCTCGTTTGTTGAGGAGACGAGAAGGACAACATTTATCGTAGATCGCGTGGTAATGTGTGAGTATGGGACAGAGTGCAGACGGGATGGGCTGCCGCCCGCACAGCGCCCCACTAACGCCCAAGCATTCATCCCCTTCGTGCATTGGGAACATTTCTCCGTGACAAATACGAAAAATGTTCTCAATATACGGAAGGGATGATATGTGGGGCGCGCTCCGTGGGCAGCCCTTCCGAACCAGACAAAGTGACTCGGTTGATTACCCCAATGCCCAAATGGCTCGGGATGATGGGACGGAGTCTCACCGAGTCATCGACACTATGCTCCCTCTTTCGTCGTCGCATCGTCGGTCCTTTTCTTTCCATTTTCCATTTTTTCACCCTTTCTCTTTCCTTTTTTATTTTTTTTCCTAATTTTTAAAAACAATTCGCGATTAGTGCCATTTTGGTCGATTAACTTTAAAAGTGACAATTTAATACCCTAACTTTAAAACATGCTAATTTAATATCCATTATTAACAATTATTAAGTAATATTTGAAAAAACACATGGCCTTCAAATGTCATCTAATTTTCTTTATCAATCATCCAAACACTAACAAAAATTTAATAATCCCAAATCCTTGTCTTTTCTATCTAAGAAAATTAGGATCATATCTTAATGAGCATTATAGTGATCTCAACTTTTTTAAATAAAAAAAAAAAAACAAATATTTGAGATTATTTATTTTTTATCAATGCTTGAACAGTTGATAAAGAAAATTATATGACACTAGAAGTGCATTTATGTCTTTTTAAATACCACTTAACGGATGGTTAACAACAAATTAACAATAGGTATTAAATTAGCACATTTTGAAAATTCGAATACTGAATTATCCCGTTTTAAAATTTGGGGGCCTAAGTGGCACTAAACCTAGGGTACTAATCAAGAATTTTCCCAAATTTTTATTTCTATTTCTATTTCATGCAAATGGCCCACGTAATTGGATGTTGCAAAAAAGAAATATCTAAAAGACAATATTACAATAAAAAACATGCTTTTGGCTTTACAACGTGGATTCAGTTTTAGCCTTGAACTAATATGGTGTTTGGTTACAATGTCATTTAAAACTGGAAAAAAAAAAACGATATCAATTCAGTGCTACGTATATAGGCATTTTCTTCTATTTGATTAAATCGCTTATCAAATAAAATTCTGCTCCGTCCATGTGAGAAAAATAAAATGAATGCCATACAAAATGTTTATTAAATAAATTTAAACACAACCAAACAGCCCTTAAAAAGATAAATCACAGCCTTTTCCTATTTGTGACCCCACCGTATGGAATGTTAATTTCAGGGTTCGTAGCAAAAGGGGATTATACCTACTAAATCAATTGTTTGGGAGAGCCCAAAACGGCTGTCAGTTGGCCATCCTTTTGGCTGCCCGCCTCAGCCTCTTCAGCATTTCAATGTGGTGGAACAAGCTGTTCAAACTCAAACCCATGTTTGTTTGGAAGGTAAGGACTGCGGACTGAGAAGGTCTTTCACGCAGCCGCGAGGTGGGCTACTAGTTATAAACTTTTGACTTGTGTTTGGTTTAAAAGAAAAGGTGGAAAAAGAAAGAGAAAGATAGAGGAATATATACAAGACTAGCGGAAGGGCCCCTGTGTTGCAGCCTTGCAGGGTTATAGAAAAAAAAAAAAAAGAAGTTGAGAAGTATTTTTTGGTGAAAATATCTTAGAAAAAATTACTTAAAATAAATTTATATCTAATAATAGTGGTTGTGGAAACAGGTTTTTAATTATTTTTTGGGTACGTTATTTCTCAAATTAAGGTAGAGAGAGAGTAGATAATAAAAAAATAAGTCTATATTTCTGAAAATTAAGGTAACTTATTTTTTTGGAAAATTAAGGTAGAGAGAGAAGGTTATAAAAGGGATAAATAGACTATACTGCCCCTCATAGTCTACTAGTAACCCCCTATAAACCACGAATTCATTCCACTTGTACAGTAGGGATCTAATTGTTGATTTCCTATAAATTTTATAGCCTAGATGGAGATTAAGAACAAAACATAGCCATGTGACAATAGATTGGCATTGAGTTGGGGTCATCTTTTCCAGGCTTTCTTCCCATTAGGAGTTCCAAAAGTACAACTCCAAAAGCAATATGAAATATAAGTATTCATGCCAAATTTTCAATTTCTAATACACAATTTTCCAGGGATTCTGATTTTCACAATATTTTTACAAGAGTGCCAGCAATTCCATGACATATGTCTACTTCTAGAGTTAGATAAACCAAATAATAGTACCATGCCTGCTACACACCAAGCCCCGGGAAATATGACAACCTTCAAAGCGAGGAAAAGTTGAAAGGTTTATAAAGATTTTCTTGACAATCGATATTCAATGAATATCAATGAACATTTCTCCAGATTCTCCTATTCTTCTTTCAATGATAAAACAATAGCTTCTAAAACGACCATAATTTGGGTGCACAACCCACTCTGAAAACCCTATTAATCAAMAAAAAAAAAAAAAAACACTCAAATGCTACCTTGTGCCAAGGGTGAGCTTTTATCTGTGGAAACCTAAGCTCGGTGTAGTTTGCATTCATGCAGCGAATTTCTTCTCGTGTTGGAGTACCAAGAACCTGCACAAAGGCATTAAGTGATCTAGTGTAATTGTATGGCATCCATTAACATTTTAGTAAATTTAGGATTTGTGGCTTAAGGACCCATGCACAGGTCCTCTACAGTATGTAGAGTTWAGAAGAATGTACAGTTATGCAATCTACAATACATTTAAAGAGTCCAGCACAACAAATCAATATTCAATATGATTAGATGATCAATGAGGAGTACTTTTACCTATTTTATTTGCAATGGTATATAAGATATTATATTCAAAGATTAAAATTATATAGACCAATATCAGGTGAATGTTCCCCCTCTCACCAAGGCGCAAAATCTCAATTCGGCCCAATCAATATAATTGTTGTAGTTTGTACATGAGATGTAGGTCCAGATATGACATTTTTTTTTTATCAATAACACTTTCATTAACTCATCAAAAGAAGATTTACAATAGGAAGACAAACACGCTTATCACAAAAAACCTCAAGAAAAGAAAAAAAAGACAGAAAACACACTATAATTACAACTTAGCCCAAAAAAGTGAATCCCTTTCTGTCCCTTGTTTAGCTAAACCGTCAGCTAGGAAATTAGCCGATCTTTTAACCCTAAGTATCTTAACTTCCATCTCCCGTACCAGCCACTTGAATTTCTTCCTCTCATTATTATACTTCCATAAGCCATTGTGATCTTTAATCAGCCACATTATCACCACCTCTGAATCCCCTTCAATTAAGAGTTTCCTAATGTTCAACTCCTTAGCTTTCTGTACTCCTTCCATAACTGYAAATATCTCAGCTCTAAGAGAGTCACCCACTCCAATTGGCCCTGAGAACATAGCAGAAATGACCCCATTTTCGTCCCTAAAAACACCCCCAATCCCCGATTGTCCCGAATTTCCCCTGCTACACCCATCAAAGTTTAGTTTCACGAATCCACTAGGTGGAGGGGTCCAAGCCACACTCATTACTGACTTAGTCTGTGTGCAATTGGCAATTTCACCCCACTTCCTCAACATATCATCCACAGTGTAATCTGTGAAAAGATCTAAAGATTTCAGCCACTATACCGCCCTAATATGAATGATAGCC